CAAAATCAATAAAATATATTTTTTTTAAAAAGAAAAGAAAATGAAAAGGCAAGCCACAGATTGGGAGAGAGTATTTGCAAACATGTCCAAGAAAAGCTTATATCTGGAATATATAAAGAATTCTTAAAATTCACTAAGAAGATAAACAACTCCCATCCCCAAATGGCAAAAGGTCTGAATAGTTATTTCACCGAGATAGACATGGGATAGATAAAAGGCAGCCAATCAATGATACTCTCACATCAATTGATGTTTCTCTCTATCTCCTTTCCTCTCTAAAATCAATAAAAAGATATTTTTTAAAAGTTGAATATTTTTATATGAGATATATACTCTCTAGTTCAGCTTCTGTCCCAACATTCTTACTTTCCTACATCCAGCCCAATTCATTAATTTTTATTATTTGCTTAACCCCAAGGGTAACTTTGGTTTGAGCCCCTACCATATATCTTGTTATTCTTGGAGCCCTAGTCAGTTTGGCTCAGTGGATAGAGCATTGGCCTATGGCCTAAGGGTCCTGGGTTCAATTCCAGCAGGAAACATTCCCAGGTTGTGGGCTTGATCCCTAGTGAGGGGCATGCAGGAGGCAGCCTATCAATGATTCTCTCTCATCATTGATGTTTCTCTCTCTCCCTCTCCCTTCCTCTCTGAAATCCATAAAAATTTTTTTTAAAAGTTATACTTGGATTCCCTTTACATAAAATTTTTGTATGAAATTCTGTATCATATTTCAATATATTAGTATTAGCAATTTTCCCTTCTCTTTCAATCTCCCTGATTTGAGGGTTAGTGCTTAATTAGTTGTATATGTATCTTCAGAATGATACTGCAATTCTATTGCAAAAAAGATAGTGGGTTATTAATGCTATTATTAATGCACACATAATTATATGACAGAATATATATTACTAATAGCTAGACAAAAGCTGATGATCAAGTGTCAGGAACCTTTCCTTTTTTTCAAGTTAATAGTTTTGCTTAAAATTATTAATGTCTGGCAATATTTCTTCTAAACCATTTTATCCTTTTAACACACACATGTACCTATGCACACACTAAAAACTACAATCATATTCAAGAATAACATGCTAAAGTTTACATGTCTTATATGGATAAATCAGTGATGCTGGTGGATCTGAAACTATTCTATATAATAAAAGACTAATATGCTAAGTGATCATCCAGCATATTAGTCTTTTATTATATAGAATAGTTTCAGATCCACCAGCATCACTGATTTATCCATCCAGTCGGCTGTTCAACCAATCAAAGCATAATATGCTAATGATATGCTAAGGCTACTCAATAATTCACTATGATGTGCACTGACCATCAGAGGGCAGACAGTGAACCGGTAGGTTTGCTTGCTGCTGGAGTTTGGCCAATCAGTACTGAACAAGACAGGCCGGACACACTCTGGAGCCCTCCCGTGATCCCTCCCAGGCTGGCCAACCTCCTTTGTCCCTCCCCAGCCCTGCTTGTGCATTGGTGGGGTCCCCTGGCCTGACCTGTGCCCTCTCTTAATCTGGGACCCCTCGGGAGATGTTGGAAAGTCAATTTTGACCTGATCCCACAGGCCAGGCCGAGGGACTCCACTGGTGCACAAATTTCATGCACCGGGCCTCTAGTAAACTATAATGTTGTATGAAATATTATGTCACTGATTAAAAAAAAGTTTTTTTTCTTACAAACATATACCTAGCAGAGTATAGTGAGGGAAACATTGATACAAATCTTTCAAGTGATCATTTTCTATGTGGCTATGCCCAAGCCATCTATTAATGATAAATTAAAAGACTCTTTACCTGTCAGGACCTGAGTTCAGGCACTCAAAAGTTTCGTATTTCTCTTGAAGAAGCTGATGACAATACTAATCCCTGCACTGTGTAGGGAGGTGCATTCCTTGCACTGGCTTAAGTGCTAGTGATTTCACCAACCCTTGAAGTGCAGAACAGTAAAAAAACAGTTTTCAGCCGTTTTTCTTACTGATTTCTCATTTTTAAAATATTACAAAGTAAGATCTTAGATATATTTTTTAAATAAATTAGTTCTGTTTTATAAAAGGCAGTGCCTTAGTTTAAAGAAACACATGCCAATAGATACTTCTGAGTTATTGCACATATAAGATGGCCTTTTCAATAATTAAAAACTTACACAAAAAAGCAAAAATCGTATGCTTTCAAATAATTTTCTAATTTTACCTTAAAGCACCAAGATTTGGTGGCTACAAATATGTAAATCGGTCTTGCAGAAGGCACCCACCGATATTAACAGGTACTACATGAGATTAGCTGGGTTAATAAACCGTGTCTCTCGTACTGACTCATTTGTTCCCCTGCCATCAGCATAGAGCCCTGGGAGGAGCTGGAAGTCAAATTCATAACTACTAGTTTATAAAGCAACATTATACTCTCTCATAAGATAAAAATAAAAAATGTTGCCCTGGCTGGCACGGCCAGTGGTTAGAGTGTCGGCCTGCACATCAAAGGATCTCAGGTCCGATTACCCAGTCAAGGGCATGCACCTGGGTTGCAGGTTCAACATCCCCACCCCCATTGTGGCACGTGTGGGAGGCAACCAATCTATTTGTCTCTCTCACATTGATGTTTTTCTTTCTCTCCACTCTCCTTTCTTGGCCTCCCTTCCACTCTCTGAAAATCAATGGGGAAAAATATCCTTGGGGGAGGATTAAAAAAAAAATTTTAATGCTACTATGTCCAAGGGTAAAATTAAGGTATATAAGCTATATATTATATATATGAAAGGCAAAATCTATCTTTGTTTCTGACTGAAATCCTAAAGTGCCAAATTCGTACAACTTTTCAATCTCTTATACTCCAAAATAAAATGGTTTACACACGACTCCAGGATTTTCTGTTGCTGTAGGAGAAATGGGTTGAGAAATGTACCTTAGCTAGTTCTAAAGAAAATATTTTATGTATCTAAAAAAAATTAATATTTTATCTGAATTCTCTCCAAATCCTCTTCATTTCCTTTAAGTTTTCATTTCTCTCCTGACCCTCTTAGTGAGAACATTAACACTACTTCCTTGAGGTTCATATCATTATGAGTTGGCACCATGCAATTATACATTTTCAAAATTCTTACTTTATAGTTTAGTAGAGGAAGATAAAAAACAAACCAGAGGCCTAGCTGGTTTGGCTCAGTGGATAGAGAATTGGCCTGTGGACTGAAGGGTCCCAGGTTTGATTTTGGTCAAGGGCACATGCCCGGATTGTGAGTTCGATCCCCAGTGGGGGACATGCAGGAGGCAACTGATCAATGATTCCCTCTCATCATTGATGTTTCTCTCTGTCCCTCTCCCTTCCTCTCTGAATTCTATAAATAAATAAATAAATAAATAAATGAATTCTTTAAAAATAAATAAATAAAAAGGAAAATGATTAGCTTGGTATGTTTCTAAATTACATATATATGTATATATACATGTACATCCAAGCCTTAAATGTTACTTTTATGCTTCTTTTCAGTATAATGTAAAAGAGAGGGAAACCAGCAATGCAAAATGTAAAAAGGTCAAATTTTTAACTTATTTTATACCAAATGAAAAGACTTTCTAAGAGGAAATCTTAGAGTAGTAGAAACTAACCAATCAATCATTTTGACAAGGAATGTCAAGGTAAAGTAAAAATTAAAAGCAATTCAACTCCAATATTAACATACCTTTGAGTTTGTGCCAAACTGGGTAACTTTAAAATATGCAGCTTATGTAGAAATAAGTTCATGCCAAAACTGATTACTAAATTTAATCCTTATTGTAATTATAAGATCTAATATAGTTCTCATTTTAAAGATGTTCATTAAGTTCCTACTCATTCTATGCCATGTTTCTTTTTAATCTATTCTTCCCCTGTAACTAACTCCATCATTTAGCTTCTAACCTTCATCTTTGATATCATAAAGCAAAAGTTTTTCTCTTAGTTAAGAGGAAGACTTATCTCAATTTTAATTTATAGTTCAAGAGGAAAAAATTTTTTAGGAAAACCACATATGAACTAAGCCAACTTGATGAACCTTTCGTGTTCAAATTGCTTAATTTTTAAAATAACTCATTAGTTTTTTAAAGCATGGTATTATGTTCATTTTATACTTAAAAGTGATTTGTCTAGAGTCACAAAATAAGTTAATGTTTGAAGTAGAATTAAAATTGTGACATTTCCATTATCTGGTAGTACAATCAGATTATACTATTGAAATATTTCCCATGAATATCTTAAGAATTTTTCTATTTCTAAAGTAAAACTGGTATCTTAATATAATGTATACTTACACATGCACACAAAAGTACACACAAATACAGGGTGCAGCAAAAGTTGGTTTATAGTTGTTTGTATGAAAAATAAACAATATATATATATATAAAAGGTTAAGCAACTGGCCGACTGGCCAACTGGCCAGTAGGTATGATGTGCACTGACCATCAAGGGCAAACACTCAATGTAGGAGCTGCTGAGTGACAGCAACTTTGCTGAGTGCCCTCTCACACTCCTGGACCCTTCGGGGGATGTCAGACTGCTGGTTGCAGCCAATCCCTGCAGACCAGCCAGAGGGACCCTTCCAGCTGGAAGAACCCCACTCACTCCACAGATGCTGTTTGAGCCCTGGCACCTCCCCAGGTGCGGCTGACCAGGGAGAGATTGCGGGAGGTTAGCTCCAGGGTGTATCAGCCCATCTCGCCCAGTCCTGCCCCACTGGCCACCTTCTTTATTTTTTAAAAAATTTCATTTTATTGTTTAAAGTATTACAAATAGTAGTACATGTGTCTCCTTTTTCCCCCCCATTGACTTTTTTGGCCACTTTCTAATTAATTTCCTTTCAGTGTGCATGAATCCATGCACTCGGCCTCTAGTAATTAATAAAGAATACCAGATTAAACTGTCTTTCATGTACTGAACTATAAACACCTACTTTTGTCCCACCCTGTACATAACATACACATACAAATAGAACAGCAAATTAAAATGAAAAACAGCTCTTACCTTCATCTCCCTCTGGTACATATGAAGCTGTAATAATGTCAATATCAGCACAATTCATCACAATCTGATTGGTTGCCTGCCTCACCTAAGGGAAAAGAAAAACCAGCAATGTCAGAAATAGCTTGATTAATATTTATATCTTCAACTTGACTTAATATATGTAGCAAACCTTTTATTGTTTTAAAATATATTTTTATTTATTTCAGAGAGGAGGAGGAGGAGGAGGGAGAGGGAGAGAGAGAGAGAGAGAGAGAGAGAGAGAGAGAGAGAGAGAGAGAGAAAACACATCAATAATGAGAATCATTTATTGGCTGCCTCCTGCACGCCCCCTACTGCACAACTCGGGCATGTACCCTTGAACAGAATCAAACCAAGGACCTTTCAGTTTGCTGGTTGATGCTCTATCCACTGAGCCAAACCAGTTAGGGAGAGGCAAGCTCATTAAAACTTAAACTATTTATGCATCAATGGTAGAAATAAATGATCAGCTGCCTCCTGCACCCTTCCTACTGAGGATCGAGGCCACAACCCAGGCATGTACCAGTACCTTAACCAGGAATCAAACAGATAACCTCTTGGTTCATGGGTCGATGCTCAACCACTTAGTCACGTTGACTGGGCAAACATGATTAATTTTAAACTAAAATTATCTGACCTATATTACAAATAGTATGCTATCAAGCCTATAACACACTGTCAAAATCTCTAACACATAAAGTGTTGGCTCATTATATATTTTGGCTCAATAAAAAACATCCTTCTCCCTGGCTGGGTAGCTCAGTTGGTGGAGCATCCTTTCCATATACCAAAAATATGGGGTTCTATTTTGGTCCTTCGATCCTCAGTAGGGAGTGTGCAAGAGGCAGCTGATGGATGTTTTTATTGCTCTATTCCTCTTCCTTACCCTTTCTCTAAAATCAATAAAAACATATTATAAAAAATTATGATTATGTATGGTTTGTTAGTAAAATGATTACTGTTAGGTATAGCTTTTTTATTATATTACTCCTGTAGGTAATATAGCCAGGTTTCGAGTTCAATCCCAGGTTGGAGCACATAAGGGACGCGGCCAACTATGTGTTTCTCTCACATCGATGTTTCTCTCTCTCTGTCTCTCCCCCTATGCCTTCCACTCACTCTAAAAATCGATGGAAAAAAATATCCTTCAGTGAGAATTAACAAACTAACAAAAAAATCCTTTTCATAAGTCAAATCTTCTTGTTCCTAAACAAAAAATGTCATTTAATAAACTTTTTTTTTTAATTTAGTATTATTTCACCAGAACATAGTCAAACAACACTAAAACTTTTATGACCCAACTGGCCACTTATAGCATTACATCTGACAACATCAAAATCTTTGCCTATTCATAAATATGACTTTTTAAAAATTCAGAAACAGAGAAATGAAGCACTTACTGGTTGTTCGCCAAAGGGCAAAATGAATCAAAACCTTTCAGAGTTTGAAGTTTATGTCAACAAAACAATAACAGGAGTTTAGTTATATATCTTAATCTTTATCTAGGCAACTATTTTCATCCATCAACATCTACAGTGAATTTAATAATAGCCAAGCAGTTAATCTACCAATGTCAAGATACCAGTACAACACTACATATGCCAAATGATACCATTTATCTCACTACTATTATAATATTCTGAGGGAAAGTGTGTACTTTGGAAAGACATGGTGCACAACATCCAGTTACAAGTACATTCCAATTCCTCTCATGATTAGAGAAAACCCACTTGTTTATACTAATGGATTAAGCTACTTGTTGAACAGCTACTAATTTTTTTTCCAGGAATTACTGCCATTTCTGGAAGGGTGGGAGTAAAGAAACAAAGGGACAAAAATACTTAATAATTAAATTAAACTCACATTTTAAAAATCTGAAATATCTGTCTCATATTAGAGATGCACTTAAAACAACAAAATAATCCATAGAAAATGCTTATAATAGCATTTAGTGCCTGATACATAGTAATCACTGAATAGATATTATTAAGGCTCCCACACAAAGACCAAGAGTAAATGTGCTCCAATCATAAAAGATATTACTCTGAATATCATCTAACAGCACTCACCTAACAGTTTATAAAGCACCCGATCAGAATCATATAAAATTTAAGAATTAGGTACTGTGATATATATCCTGTTTCCCTGAAAATAAGACAGTGTCTTATATTAATTTTTTCTCCCAAAGTTGCGCTAGGTCTTATTTTCCGGGGATGTCTTATCTTTCCATGCGCTAGGTCTTATTTTCGGGGAAACATGGTAGCATTTTGGATATCAGCATATATGTATTGCCCAAGGAAGGCAATTTAAAAAAAAAACTCATATAGACTTAGGCATATGCTTAAGTGGTTGATTACTACACTAGAACACTTCTTTTTAATGCTTTTCCAACAATAGCACTGACCTGATGATTCCGTATTTGATTTCTCACATTCTAACATCATCCTGTTACTGTTAGTGATATGACTTGTGTGTTCCACTATCAAAATAGTAATAGTGTGGCCGGTGTGGCTAAGTGGTTGAGAGTCAACCCATGAATCAGGAGGTCAGGGTTCGATTCTGGTGAGGACACATGCCAAGATTGCATAATTAATTCCCAGTGGGGGCTGGGGGCAATTCTCTCTCATCATTGATGTTTCTCTCTCTCTCTCCCTTCATTTCTCTAAAATCAATAAAAATCTATTTTTAAAAAATACAGGTAACTATGCAAAGGATTTTCAGTTTTCAAGCTTAAAAGAGAGCAAATGCTAAAGTTAGCATATAAAATTGTGTTGCACTTCAACAGAACCAAAGCTAAGTAATAGCTCTACTGAAGAGGTAGCTTGACCATTTTACAATGGAAGTTTCCTATGAACTAGGAAGTCAGCAATTTGAGGTATTTTTTCTGCCCCTGAATGAGTCTTGACTACAATCATTCAGAAATACACCTTACATAGTAAGACTCAAGAGGTTTTTTCTGGCTGCCCAAATGCTGAGATTTTAGTAAAAGGAAATCTCCAGTGTAACAATTCCAAATACCAGTAAATCTGAAGCCTGAGTCACTTTGCGTAACAAACAATTTCATCGTTAAAATTTTGTAATAATTGTCTTTGTGGAACAGGGCTATAATTTCTTAAGACCATAAGGAGCAAATAATTAGTAAGCACAAGGTGAGCCAAGTTTTCTAATAATAAATACATTGAAAGAGCAAGTTACAGAAAGTCATAATAAGTACCAATAATGTAAAAATGTTAAACACACAAAACATTGCTCTTTATTGCCTGTGGCTACTTACATACACAATAACACTTTTAAATTACACACAAGAAAATACTCACCTACCTAAAGAAAGAAGTTACCGCTGGGTATGAGTGGAAGAGATGGAAATGGGCTTTAGTGATGCCTGTGACATTTTATCCTCCCCTCCCTCAAAATCATGCAGTCTGAAGCAAATGGGGCCAAATATTAATAACTGCAAAATCTAGGTGGTGGGTTAATTTTCCAATTTCTTAAATATTTCATAATTTAAAATAAAAACTTTAAGTGATTACAAGTGGCCAAATAAATTGAGAACTACATGCATGTATGGTGTTCAAAGTGAAATCTCCAAGGTCTACAGAACTAATCTCAGTTAACAACAAAACAGCAGCTATTAGAAGGCTCAGTCCTTTGCCACTGACTCACATACAGATTAGAATAAGACTTAATTTTACAATAAGCACAGCTCATTTACTATGTAGCAAAGTTCAGAGACATTTCATAAGTTTCAATTTACTACTTAAAACCACATTTATCCAGGTTGTATTGACAGTATCAATTATCCAGAACCAGGAAGTTAAAAAAAAAAAAAAGCCTTTATGGAAAGCCAGAAGAGTTAATACAAAGTCCATACACACAGCTCATACCCTTCACTCAAAGGAGAATCCATCAAACCCTCTCTTAGGAATGTCTTTATAAATTCAAACAAGCCTGTTTATCTGGTTACTTAGACCTCTTCAGATCAAGTTCAGTAAAATAAAAGAGGCAAGAAATTTCACAACAGGCAGCAACAAGGCACAATAAGCAGCAAAAAATAATAGCCTCAAAGTAAGAAAACAAACAAATAAAAAAACTTTAAAGAACAGATATGAAACTAATATATATATCATAGTACATAGTTTTGAGTAATCTATGACTATAAGTATCAATGACAGATGGTCAGAATGGTGTACAGTATTTTAAAAAAGAAAAGAAACAAACCTAGATTATGAGGAAGTATAGACTTTTTTTAAAATAACAGATTTTAGAAATATTTTCATCCTAATCAGTAAATATTTTTAAAATTCTAAATGCCTCAATGGGTATGCTTCATTTATCTAAAAAATTCATTGCAGAATTCATTACTTTATCTGATATCAGATAAAGCTTCACATATAAAAATTTCTTAGGTGTTTCTTCATACCTACATTTCAAGAAACAGAATAGAAAATCTGAACAAATTCAATTCCTTATCCAATCTTTCAAATTTAATTTCTTAAGACCATTTAGTGTTCTAGTACAATACTGGAGAAATTATTAATTTTATCATTTTTAAAGTAATAAAGATGACCAAATTTACTGCAAATGCTAAAATGGGGCAGAAAATTCCATAACACGGGGTTGACAATAACATCCATTTATGTGTCAACTTTCAGTGTTCCAAACAAACTGCTGTATCTGTACCTCTCCTGAAAGTGCCGATTCAGTCACCATGGGCATGAATATTTTGTTGGCGCAGGCCAGGGTGTATCCTGACTTCTGGCCTTGAAGGATGATGGTAATTTCCCTGGCACAGGTGAAATATTTCCATAAGGAAAAAAAACAATTATTGCATAAATACAATTATAACAAAGAATTGTAGCCACTCACATAAGCTTGTAACCTATTTCTTAATTATCCACAAAGCAAGAAAATCAGAATTTGAAATAATTACTAAAATCCAGTGCTCTCAAATATTCTAAAGGGACAAGAAAGGGAATGTTCCATTTCTCCAGGTCAGTGATTTTCAATCTTTTTCATCTCGTGGCACACATAAACTAATTTCTCATCTGTGACACACCAAAAAAATATTTTTTTTAATAATCTGACAAAAAAAAGAATACTTTTTATTCATTCACACTGGACAGCTATTGTGGTGGCTGTTGTCATTTTTTTTATTTGACAATATATGGAAAAAGAGGTCAGTGCCACAACTAAATAGTCAGGTACCTCATGTTTTCAAAATTCTTGTGGCACAGGTTGAAAATAGCTGTTCTAGGCCCATGATAAACACCTTTTCAAAACCTGCCAAATCAGACCACACTCACTTGTGTAGAAGACAACTACTTTTTAAATTATCCACAATAATTCACCTTCCCCAATTTCTTCACCTTCCCCAAGAGTCCACACCCCAGGCCAGGTTAAAAATCCACTAAGTTTCTAATATGTAACCTGTACAAATACTCTGGGCTTATCATAAAATTCTGTAACTTAAGCAACCAAGCAACTTGCATACTTTGTGTAATGTGATTCCAACTATTAGGAAACTGACCCAATCCCAGTTATAGATCTGGTTTCTAGAGATATAATTTTGTCCACATTTTAAATTTTCCTCTATAAGATACTACCTAATGCCACAATTTATTGCTCCAATCCATGGATTTCAAAAAAACATTAACATCTGCTTTTTACTATTAATATAACTTTTTACTAATGTTAATTCCTCTTTATACTTCCAAACATGGCAATTCACACAATTGAAGAGTCCAACTGTCCTTTAATAACACCTGTTAGAATTCACTATGGATTGAAATGCCGTCTTTCATGTGTTGCATGCACTTAGCCTGAAAAGTATTTCTGAAAAGAAACACTTTGAAAAGTTCATGTTACCAAAAAAAATCCACGTATTTCCTTGTATCAAATTCCCAAGTCCCTGCTAATATCTAGCACGTTACCATGTGCTCCCTCAATGACCCCAACCGATCTTTTAAGTATTTCTCATCTTTTTGGAAAAGTAAAAAAGGGATAAGAAGTACATCACTGCTTGTTGTTCTATCCTAATACTCAAATTAAACTGTCACTTCCTAACAAAATAATCATTTCAAAATCTTTGGCGATTTTGTTTCCTGAAAATTTCCCTTAAATATACATTCCTCTAGAATTATGAGCCTATTATGCCAGCTAATGTGGTAAAGAAACAAATAATGTTTTTAAATGTTAGTCTTTTCACATAATGCGAACTCATTCATCACTAGGGCCTTCCTTTGCCAAGTCACAAGACACGCTACTGTTTACAATCCCTCCCATCTGCCCCCTGCCAATATATATCAAACACTCCAGTCACTTGGCTTAAACAAACACCGTTCCCCAAATAACCCTTTCAAATCCTAATTCAAACCCAAGATGCATTCATTCTGATTCATACTCTTCATGGAAAAATCCTAAGTCACCTGACTTTCACAGGGTTAAGTTTTGCTTTTGGATGCAGCCAGACCTTAGACCCGTCCTCATGCTTTCACACAAGTGCCCCAAATTTGACAGTACACTTTTTTAATTGTACGCTTTTAGACATATTTTTCATCTGAGCACTCGGTTTTCAAAGACAATTGCCAACTTTCAACTCATTCAAACACTAGTCTGCATCTCTTTCATTTCGCCGCTATATACACACCCTGTTCTTTAAGGCTGAGGCCTACAGATTTTTTTCCTCCTGACTGCAGTGGGAAGGAAAATGAAACAAAATATTTTTGACCCTCATTCTTTTCAAAGATAAACTGCTACACAGTTCCCACGTTTCCTTACTACATCATATAATATGGTATATATACAATGTCTACTGTTCAGGACCTTTGAAAGGGCATCAATATGAATGGTCTCCAAAAGCAAACAATACTTCAGATCATGCTGCAGAGGGTGAGGGGCGGTGGGGAAGAGCATGATTCACCAAAAAAAAACCACACACACACACAAAAAACCCTGCAACCAAGAGGAATGGAATATTTTCACCAGTGGAATGCTCCCATTAATAGCTTCTTTCAGGGGACGGAGCTGCCACACAAGCCATCGCCGTGGCAATAAATCCACCTGCTTCGGGGGCTGCAAAGGGCTAGGAGGCTGGGAGGACAACCGGAAACGGGGTCCTCCTCCAGCTTCTCCGGGGGGTCGGGGAGCGCAGTCAGGGCTGCACTGTCACTTGCGGAGAAGGGGAGGGGGGAGGGGCGGACCATCTCGGAAACCCAGCCCCTGGGCCGGAGCAGGCGGGGAGAACTCAGCCAGGCTGCCCGGGATTAACATTCTCCTTCTCACCCCGTCCCCGCTTCTAGAATCTCCCCTCCTCCTAACGCGCGGCGGGCCGGGGGAGTCCCCGATGAGCGGCCCCGCCGGAGTGTCCTCCGCGGGGCGTGGGCAGGACCGCAGAGGAGACCCGAGTGGACGAGGAGGACCCCTCTGGCCTCTCCCAACACCCTCCGCCGCTCCCACAACCCCTCCGAGCCCGGAAGGGCCGGGGATCGGGGGGTGCCCCCACCAGGTGTGCCGGCCCCGGAGGGGCGCACGGGGCCCGGCCCGCCGGCCCCCGCAGCGCGGCCTGGCCCCGGCCCCCGGCCCCCGGCCCCCGGCCCCCGGCCCCCGGCGGGACAGGACACCCCGGCCCCCGCGCCCCGCCGCCGCCCCGAGGGGCGCGCCCGTCCGGGATCCAGCCGCCCCGGCCCCGGGCCCACAGCCGCCCAGGCCCGGCCGCCCGGCCCCCAGCCCGGCCCGCGGGCGCGGCCTAACTGCTGGCCCGGCAGCTGGCCCCGGCGCCGAGGGTCGCCGTACCTGGGCGGCGGCCTCCAGCTTGCCCTCGAAGGTGAAGTCCAGCAGGTCGGGCTTGAGGCAGAGGCTGTAGTTGATGGGGGAGACGTCGGCGGGCAGCCGCTCGAAGGGCCTCTTCTCCGGCATCGCGGCGAGGCCCAGGCTGTGGAGGCGGCGGCGGCGGCGGCGAGAGGAGCGGCTGAGGAGGAGAAGGAGGAGGGGAGGAGGCGGAGGGCCGAGGAAGAGCAGGCGGCGAGCGAGGGAGGGGGCGGCGGCTGCCAGCCACATCCACCGAGCGAGCGGGAGCGGCCGCCTGAGGAGAGCCACCGGGGACGGGGTCCTGGGGGCCGGCCGGGGAGAAACCCAGCCCGAGCGCCAGGGGCCGGGAGGGAGTCAATGCGGGCGGGCGGGCGGACTGCCTACGGGGAAGGGGGCGGAGGGAGGGCAGGGGAGGAGAGCCGGGAGGGAGGGAGGGAGGGAGGGAGCGAGGGGAGGGAGGCGGCGGCAGCGGCGGCGCTGCGTGCGCGGCCCCGCGGGCCAGGCGCGGCCCCGCCGTGTGCGCGTGCGCGGCGCAGGGGGCGGGGCTGCGCGGCGCGGCCCGCGGGCGGGGGGGGGGGGGCGCGGGGGCGCGGGCGGAGGCGGCCGGCGGCTGCGCACCTGTCGGCGGCGCCGGGGACCCCGCTATCCTTCCGGGAGGAGCCGGAAGGACCGGGCCGGCCGAGGGGAAGGTGTGGCCGCCGCCCCCGGCCCGCGCCTCTCTGCCCCGCGCTGTCCTCGGAAACCGAAGCCTACTTCGCTGCTCAGGGCAGTCAGGGATAAAGGGTAAAACGTCAGTTCAGAGCAAAAACCACCACCACCACCCCCCCCCCCGACCTGGATGTTCACCCCCAGATCAGGGCAAAGCGGCTCCTGTGATTTGAAGGAGCAACTTCAAGGGATGTTAATGGAAAACGTTGTCAGAAAACTTTTAAGAACCCACGTTCCTTAACCGGGGTGATCTGGACCTTTGAGGGAGTGAGTTCAAAAGTTAAGGTTTTTGTGTCCGTGATTTAATGTTCAAAATAAGATAGGCTTTACCTTTTTCCGTTTTCATCTTTGTTCTTGCTTTTTAAAAAAAGTAAAATTAAAAAAATTTAATCCCTTTCCCAATTGTGACCTCTTGAAAGATAAATTAGCTGTGGCTCCCTCAGTTCTATAGCTACCTAGCAAATTGAGGCATATATATATATATATATATATATAATTGTGTGTGTGTGTGTGTGTGTGTGTGTGTGTGTGTGTGTGTATTGCTGGAAAGACCTCTTGCTCCGCCCTTTCTTTAAAACTCATCTTTCCCAGAAAGTCCTCATTGAGTAACTCCATCCAACACTAACCCATTAGTCATCTGGGCTATTGGGCATCCAAAAGATGGCTAGTCAGATTTCAAAGCCTTAGTACAGAAAAAAATATCAACTCCCAAGTACTGGCTTGTGCTGATTTATGTAAATTTGTTCTGTAGTTATATTTTAAATTTGCTTTTATATGTATATCTTTTCAAGATGTTCTACTAGCAAGAGCTTGACTTCTAATTATTTTTACAACTGTCAGTACTCAGCCTTGCACAAAGTACAACTCAGTTGTTATTGACCCAACTAACTCAGTGGTCTGCAAACTCATTAGTCAACTGAGCCAAATATCAACAGAACAACAACTGAAATTTCTTTTGAGAGCCAAATTTTTTAAACTTAAACTTCTTCCAACGCCACTTCTTCAAAATAGACTCGCCCAGGCCGTGGTATTTTGTGGAAGAGCCACACTCAAGAGGCCAAAGAGCCGGATGTGGCTCGCGAGCCGCAGTTTGCCGACCACGGAACTAACCAATTGACTAAGAGAGAGTATTTTATCCAGCCTGTAGCCTTTCCTTTATATATAAGATGTGTGCCTCACGGAGAAAGCACAGTGCCTTACTATGTGAACTTAAGACTAGAGCCTACCATTTTTTTATTAAAAAAAAAAACACACAAAATGATTTTTAAAACAAAACCAAAAAAAGCCAAAACCGGTTTGGCTCAGTGGATAGAATATCAGTCTGCAGACTGAAAGTTCCCAGGTTCGATTCCGGTCAAGGGCATGTACCTTGGTTGTGGACACATCCCCAATGGGGGGTGTGCAGGAGGCAGCTGATCGATGCTTCTGTCTCATCGATGTTTCTAACTCTCTGTCCCTCTCCCTTCCTCTTTGTAAAAAATCAATAAAATATATTAAAAAAAAAAAGGGCCATAGGCTTCATCGCAGCAGTGCTTGTGACCCTGTTGAGGAAAGTGTGTGTGTGGGGGGGGGGGACTTAATTGTCCTAATCTCTAGTCCCATGACCCAGAAGGTTCTAATGAAACAAGTCAAGAGTAAACCCAGACTTACTACCTAGAACTTGATATAGGGGAATTGAAGGTTGCTTGTAGTTCCCATAATAATAATTTTTTTTTAAAAAGACTAGTAATCTGCTGGGACTGGTTTGGCTCAATGGATTGAGCGTCGGCTTGGGGACTGAAGGGTCCCAGGTTCGATTCCGGTCAAGGGCATGCACCTTGGTTGCGGACATATCTCCAGTAGGGGGTGTGCAAGAGGCAGCTGATCGATGACTCTCTCTCATTGATGTTTCTAACCCTCTATCTCTCTCCCTTCCTCTCTGTATAAAATGAATAAAATATATTAAAAAAAAAAAAAAAAGACTAGTAATCTCTCATATGCTCACGGCAGGCTTCTCTGGAATAACTGAAATGAAGGGCATATGTACTCTTGAAAATTCATTTCCTTTAGAGAGGAGCAAGCGGGGGTGAGGGGGTCGGAGTGGAGAACTGGGTGAAGGTGAAAGGATTAGGAAATACAAATTGGTTGTTACCAAATAGTGATGGGGTGTAAAGTACAGCATAGGGAATATAGTCAATAATATTGTAAATAACTATATATGGTGCCAGGTGAGTGCGGAAATATCAAGGGGAACACTTTGTAAAGTATATGATTGTATAACCACTATACTATACCCCTGAAACTAATATAAAATAATATTGACTGTCAACTATAATTGAACCCCCTCCCCAAAAAAGAATGAGAGTTGAACATGTTCTATACTTAGATTGTGGTGGTGGTTGCATAGCTCTGTGAATTTGCCCCAAACAATTACATGGGTGGATTTTATGGTATGTGAATTATATTTCAATAAAAATGTTTCAAATATAAAATAAAATTATAGTGAATACCCGATAGCATAATATGATAATATTAGGTCCAATAAACAGTCTTTGATTAAAAAAAGAAATTAATTTCCCCCCATGGTATTTCAGAAGGAGTGGGAAAATCAGTAATGTGTCAAAAAGTTGTAAGTTCTACCTATAACAGACTTCTAGGCATCTCTATTTAGAAGCCCTTGAAAATCTGCAAATGAAAAACCTATGCAAGTTATATACTTTAATAAAAAGTTAAAAAAGCAAAAAAATGAATTTAGATCATCCTTATCTTGGGCACTTTTTGTCTTTAGCTTTCAAGCACTAATCTGAGCGTCTAATCTCAGAGCCTGAATCTTATCAGTGACTTGTCTATGACCTAGATCAAATCTTATTAATTTCTCTGCTTCAGTTTTCTCATTGGTAAAGCAAGCAAGGTGCATAATACATTTTTTAACAAAAAAATGTATTATTTTACCTGTGGTTTGGGGGCTTCTCAAAAAACAACATAATGTTCTTAATATTAGAATGGTCTTCAGAGCAAGTTGTAGATAATGAGTTGGTGTAAAGGATATATACTAGTAAAGCAAATGTAAATCATTGAAAGAAAAGTTTCAAAGCAGAGAGAATATAAAGGAGTTGGGTTAGGAAGCCAAAATATTCGGGCAAGCCCTGCCCAGGTTGTTCAGTTGGTTAGAGAATCGTCCTGATACACCAAGGTTTTGGGTTCAGTCTCCGGTCAGTGCACATACAAGAATCAACCAATGCCGAAACCGGCTTGGCTCAGTGGATAGAGCGTCAGCCTGCAGCTGAAGGGTCCCTGGTTCAATTCCGGTCAAGGGCATGTACCTTGGTTGCAGGCACATCCCCAGTGCGGGGGTGGGGTGTAGAGGCAGCAGATCGATGTTTCTCTCTCATCGATGTTTCTAACTCTCTATCCCTCTCCTTTCCTCTCAGTAAAAAATCAATATTTTTTTTTAAAAAGAATCAACCAGCCGAAACCAGTTTGGCTCAGTGGTAGAGCGTCCGCCTGCGGACTGAAAGGTCCCAGGTTCGATTCCGGTCAAGGGCATGTACCTTGGTTGCGGACACATCCCCGGTAGGGGGTGTGCAAGAGGCAGCTGGTCGATGTTTCTCTCTCATCAGCGTTTCTAGCTCTTTATCTCTCTCCTATCCTCTCTGTAAAAAATTAATAAAATATATTTTTTTAAAAATCAACCAATGAATGCATAAATAGAGGAACAACAAATCAATGTTTCTCTCTCTCTCTCTCTCAAATCAATAAAATATATCTATATACAGGCAGAAGGGAAGACACACTAGCTATAAATCATTGAAAGGGGAAAAGAAAGAAGTGGAAAAGTTTGGAAAACCGTTATAAAGCCCGCCACATAAGATACAAAACAAAGCATTGCTGGTACTACTTAGCCTCCCTGACTTAGAAAGTGTGGCCTTCAATGTCAATGTCAAGCGTGGAAATTAAAACTATAATTCCACTAATATGAATCTTACATACGGAAGACGGTAAAGAGGTTCCAAAAACCAGGAACACAAAAAGTTGGAGAGCAATCCATAGGAAGCTGATGCCACAAGACCCCAACCTTCTGCTTCCTTTTCTGTAACTTTAAATGGCTGTTGGGATGACAGTTGGAAATGCGGAGAGCAGATGGAATGTTGCCTACCTATCCCATGTTCTTCATGAAAGGGAAGTAGATTAATTCCATATGCTTTAGCCCTGGCTGGTGTGGCTCAGTTGGTTGGACATGTCCTGTGCACTGAAGGGTTGCCAGTTTATTCCAAGTCAAGGCAGCTAGCTGCCGGGGTTTTGGGCTTGATCATAGCGGAGGCAGCGGATTATGTTACTATGCTCTCATATCAATGTTTCTCTCTCTCGTTCTCTCTCTCCCTCTTCCTTTCTCTCTCTAAAAAATAATTTTTAAATCTTTAATAAGTAGGTAAGTAAATAAAATGTATCCTATACAGATGAATAACAACTATTGATATAGCAGGTGATACATGTATATATCTGTATGCATATATGTATGTATATATATATATATATATATATATGTATTTGAAATTGGCAATATGGCATATACATCTAAATATGGCCAAAGAAAGGTTCTCAGAGTTAGAAGTTTTATTTATTTCTTTCTTTATTTTTAAATTTCTTTATTGATCATGGCGTCACATAATTGTCTTCATCCCCCATTCCCATCCCGAGCCCCTCGCCATGTATGTCCACCCGCTGTTGTCCATGACCTCTGGTTAGGCTTATATGCGTGCACACAAGTCCTTTGGTTGATATCTCCCCTTTGTCCCTATCCTCCCCTGCCTTCCCTCGGAAGTTTTATTTCTTTTGGTATCTTTCCATCAGGAAGTTGAAAAAGTCATACGTTTCCACCACCTGTCTTACTTCCTTTCTACCCCCTTCGCCCCTCCCTTTTTATTTCACTACTTCTGCTTCCTTTTTCACAACCACTGCCCTGAGATCACTTACCGATCCCAGTGACTGGCAGCTACATGACTAAGCCTCTTTGCTGATGATGTTTAAATTGAGATGAACCTGTTTGGCTGTGCCCTCTTAAGAAGGGTTACTCACTAGAATCTTGTAGAAAGTGAGTTAGGGAGCAAAGCCAACGCCCCCTTGCTGCGGGCAAGAATGCATATGTCTGTGTCTGGCGCGTGGGTATCTGGAATGCTGCTACATTTCTTGTGGAATCCCAAGTTTTTAAAGGTTACAGTATTTGGGAGCTAGCATGCTGGAATTGACTTAGCACTGATGTTGCCGTGACTTCAAATCCAAATAAATAAATAAATAAATAAATAAATAAATAAAGGCTCAGGCTGAACCAGACCAGTAGAGTAGGCAAGAGGATTAAAAATCTTAGAGGCTTGCCAACAGTCAGGTGGCCTCAGTTTCTCCACCCTTGGCTCTATTTCTGTTTGCTTTTGAAATTCCTGACAACAAGAATTTACATCAGAATTAGTTCTCACTCAGTTAAGCCTAGCAAAGAGAATAATTTTCAACCCTCTGGCTAACCCTAGGGTAAGGGTGGGGTGCAAAAAAGAGACCTAAGACATTAAGGCCTGCCAACTTGGTCAAATCACATCATACAGGATGTGATTTTTGTTTTGTTTTATTTTTCATTTTTTTAAATATACTTTATTGATTTTTTACAGAGAGGAAGGGAGAGGGATAGAGAGAGAAACATCAACCAGCTGCCTCTTGCACAGCCCCTACTGGGAATGTGCCCGCAACCAATGTACATGCCCTTGAACAGAATCGAACCTGGGACCTTTCAGTCTGCAGACCAACAGTCTATCCACTGAGCCAAACAGGTTTTGACTTGTTTTATTTTTATTTTTACACAGGGTGTGATTTTATGAGAGCCAATTTGTGTTGGAGTTTTAGCCACCTAGCTTAAATAACAGAGGATGAAAATCTTTCACTTCCAGCTTCCCTAATTTGAATATGAATCAAGATTAATAAACATTTAAAAAGTGTAGGAGAAGCTAGAAATTGGCTCATGGCCTGCTTATGCACAGGACTGAGCCAAAGTCATCTTGTCCCCAATAAACTAAAAATGCTGAAGCTGAACAGAAACTTAAGGTGAGCATTGAGGACCCTTTCATTTTCAGATATTCTGCATTTTCTAGGGAATAGTCTCCAGCATGGAGGCTAGCCTTTGGGATCTGGTGTCTTAAAAAACAACACCACCTACATGGTAACATCTCTGTATTGTGAACTGACTCAAGAAGAAGCCAGAGACAAAAAGCAATTCAAACCTCTTATATTCTTTAGTCCTGGGAAGCTGTACCCTCAGATTTCTAGATATGGTCTAATTTAGTTCAAAGTGTGATCACACTGTATAAAATATACATTCACTGAGAATGAGACCTAGCACAGATACCCTAGGGACCTGACATCAGGAATTAGGGCAGGCCAAAAAAAAAAAAAAAAAAAAAAAAAGACAAAATTCTTTAGGCAAACAGGCACAATTCAAACATTCAAGAGGGATTTATAGTTTTCTTGCCCCAAACCTATAGTAGCTATGAAGTGGGAGCCACAATTTTAGGAATTCTACATCAGGGAACATCTATGTACTTTTGCTAAAAAGTACTGTCTCATCTCACCGTAAAAGTGTATCAATATGTAGAACAGAAGGAGATAGAATCAAAGGAATTAGAGAGGTAAAGGGGAGGAAAAAGTCACTATTTTACAGAACGTGTTACTCTTACTCTCCAATGAAGTAAATCACTTTCATAAAATATATTTGTATTGATTTCAGAGAGGAATGGAGAGTGAGAGAGACACACCAATGATGAGAGAGAACCATCCATCAGCTGCCTCCTGCATGGCCTACATGGGACTGACCCTGCAACCCGGGCCTGTGTCCTTGACCAGAATCGAACCTGGGACCCTTCAGTCCACAGGCTGACACTCTGTCAATCCACAGAGCCAAACTGGCTAGAACAGTAATTTCTTTTAAGGCCTTTGTTTTCCATAACTCCCTCCCCTCCCCCCCCCCCCCCCCCGCCACCTTTCCTGGTAAAGGGACAGAGAAATCCAATATGCCATATTACAAATACTAGGATTCAAACTTAAATTTTAAGGATAGGCATAATAAGTAGTTATGTTCTTTTTTATTATTGTTTTAGGGGACTTCAAGTAAAAAAAAAAGGACCAGAAACTGACACAGAGCAGAGATAGAAGCAGCAATTTGCCCAAGGTTAACTGCAGAATTGTGACAAAAACTATGATAAGTAGAATTTCTGATTCCTAGTCCTGTCTCTTTTCCAAATATCCTTGCAGTTGTAGGTAACTGTCAGAGGACAGGTGTTGATATATTAGCTAGACTACTTGCCCTAGATTTTATCAGACAGTCCTGGTTTCACATTATTCCCCACCTTTGTCATAGCCATGTACCTGTCCTAGAAATTCCAATATCCCAGCATTTGAGTTTAAAGAAAATGAAAGAAGAATTGTGTACCTGGGAGTCAAAGCAAAGAGGGCACACACGATAGCTGGTGTCCAGGCCCGGTAACAGGAAGGAGACAGAAAGATCTGATTGCTAGCATAACCAGGCAGCTCAAATGAAGGTAATAGAATCCCATGCAGAACATCAGCTGATGCCGAAAAGAATGCTCTCTCCATGAGTGCTTACCACAGACTCGGAGCAATATTGCTGTTTGGAGCCCACCTCTGGAGCGCTAATACTCCGGCCTCCATTAGAAGCAGGCTTCCACCTTGGAGAGCTGACATAGTATAACGAGTCCTATAAACAAGAGAATCACATGGGGATAATCCGTTAGTGAGAGTTGAGGGCCGAAACTGGTTTGGCTCAGTGGATAGAGCGTCGGTCCCGGTTTCACGTACCTTGGTTGCGGGCATATCCCCAGTAGGGGGGGTGCAGGACGCAGCTGACGGATGTTTCTCTCTCATCGATGTTTCTATCTCCCTTCCTCTCTGTAAGAAATCAATAAAAAAACATTTTTTTTATAATAAAAAAAGAAAGAGGTGAGGGAAGAACTTCATTAAAAAAATACATTTTTATGAAGCAAATCTGAAGTCCTCCAACTGATTTACAAAATCAGGTCTGGTCAGACCTCATAAGAATAGCAAACCTAGCAAGAGAAACAAGTTTTCTGGGTTAGTCCTGGGCTCTTGGCCCCTACACAAACACTCCCTAGAAATCCTATTGAAGCATCCTCTTCATTCAGTACAACTAATCCATTACAACTCTGAATAAATGGAAACACATTTAAATGCTTCTCAAAGTATTTTTCGGTGTGAAAGAGAGAATGAAAACCCATGGAACGGAAGAATGGTTCAGTTTTTTCTCTTCCCATGACCATTGCTAACCTTTTCATTCCGTGTACTAACCCTAAAGACATATTCTCATCGCCAGGTGGGGCCTCTTGTTCTACACAATAGACCAAGTAATTCTCCCTTAAGGATATCTAGTTAAATTTGATTTTCAGGTAAACAATAAGTAGGGTTGTTGTTTTTTTAGTATAAATATGTCTCAAATGTTTCATAGGACATGCTCATACTAAAAATATGCAATATTTGGGGGGTATACTTATTCTAAAAACTATTCATTGTTTATCTGAAAATCATATTTTATTAAACTTCCTGTATTTGTATTGCCTAAATCTGGCAACCCCACCATTAGTCTGCTTTCAGATTTTGAAGATGGCAGCCCAATGGCTTTGGAACTGTTTGATTATATAAAAGGGAATTTTAAAATAGCTTTGTGTAGTCCTAACCATTTTGGCTCAGTGGATAGAGTGTTAACCTGAGGACTCAAAGGTCCCAAGTTTGATTGCGGTCAAGGGCATGTACCTCAGTTGCAGGATCCTCCCTGGCTGGGGCCCTGGTCAGGATGAGCGCAGGAGGCAACCAAACAATGCGTTTCTCTCACATCGATGCTTCTCTTTGTCTTTCCCTCTCTCTTTCATCCTCTCTAAAAATCAATGGAAAAATATCCTGGATGAGGATTTTAAAAAAAAATTAATAAAAAAAGAAATAAAGAAAAGAAAATAGCTTTGTGTGTTTGCAAAACTTTTT